TCGTCGAAAGAGAAGTTGAACGGCGGGAGAAATCCTCTTGCCAATAGTGACGCGTATGTTAGCATAAACACACCGCATTCGTTAATGCCGCGCTGTCTAGGAATGCCTGACACATTCCATATGTGGTTGAAATCTTTTGTATCTACCACCTTACCCTGTTCAACTGATCTTTCGAACAAAAATCTTGCGAAACCACCTGTCACTTTCCTTGCGAATTCTTTGTCAGGGGGAAGCGAGTTGTAGTACTCTATTTTCTGGCGTCTCAAGTCCGCTATTACTAGTGTCCAATGGTTGGACATCCGAACATGGAATGAAGCTATTATTAAGTCTACGTCGCCCACATCGATATCTGCCATCCACTTTCGCACTGCGCTATATTTGTATTGCATATCGTCATCGAACAATTTCGCGAAGAAGAAGGAATTAAAAATTGTTGTTATTGGGATGCGCCCTTTTCCTTCAACTACAGTTCCGTCTTGTCCACTGTCACATTCGCGATGGCTTATGCGACACATGTTGTCAAGCCTAACGAGGTTCAAATAAAAGTTAACTATTTCGTTGTTCAACCATTTGCCTTGAAGCAATATCAAGCTCAAATCATGCCCGGTTAGTATTAGTTCTTCTTTTGTTGCCCCGTTGTACGTGGATGTCCAGACCGTTCGATTCTCCACTTGCATTGAATCTCGTAAACGTTGTACCGCGGCCTTCTCCTTCTCCGACAACTTATCCGTCGCTAAGTGGATCGTCCATCCCTGTTTGCATCTTCGTACTTCTTCTATGTTCCTCCTTTCTGCACATGACAATGCATTATGCGCAAGCGTAAGCTATCAATATTGGGGCTTGCCATATTTGCATGCCCGAAACGGCCTTCAAAATTTCAATTGCTAAGTCCTGCCAACATGATACTATATTGAGTACACATAAACACCCCGACCTCCACCCTTCTGCGTAATATGTCGTATAACACAGCTACAATTCCTGCCGAATTACCGTCTGTTTTTTAGGAGGAGATCGATCAATGAAACTTATCGCAATCTATGGTGGTTATCGGTAACCCTGCTTCCATCTGTTCACTGTTGATTATGTTCACTACTATTGGTAAAAATTTTCAAAATAAGTTCATAATATTCACAGTACGCTACAAGATGGCACAACAAGTTATCTGAAATCTTAGGTGTCAATTACACATGACAGGCAAAGTGTCCCATATAGTGTGTTTTCATATGTCTTCATTATAAAACTGCACCAAGCACTTGCACACAATTTAGTCCACACACAGAACCTGGCGCTGCTAACGAGTCAACCTCTGCGTACTCAAACCCAGACACACACATACACACACATACACACACACACACATACACACACACACATACACACACACACACACACACACACACACACACACACACACACACACACACACA